AGGGTTTATATAGGGTTAAGGGTTTATTACTTATCACCAACAATTCAGACCTCGACACCAACAATTCAGACCTCCATATGGGGGTTTCTGAAAACAGGGGACCCCAAAATAGAACCCTAAATAGTAGGATCCTTATTCTAAGGACCCCAAAATAAGGTACCCCTTGTTTTCGGAAACTCCCATATGACCCTTCATTGCATCGGATGGATCGCCAGGTTCATCCGGGCCTCCAGGGGACGCAAACAGACGGTCGCCACATCGGTGTAGACCTGTCTTCTGCCACAGGGTCCGAAGTACGGTTAGGGTTTAGGCTTTAGGGTTTAGGGTTTAGGGTTTAGGGTACCTACATAGCAGAAAGTAGGGGTTTTCTACAGTAGGATTCCTAGTTCGTATGGATTTGGTGTAAGTATCCCCCCCCCATATAGGTACTTGGGATTTTTGGGGTCTGAGCTCGTTGCAAGTGGCCCCAACACCCCAAAAGCTCTCCTGTCCCGTAGTCCCGAAGCAAAGCCCAGGGCATCCGAAAGCCAATTTAGGTAGTATTATTAGGGGTACCCCTTAAAGGGTACCCCTTCTGAACCCTACTTTTGGCTCTCTTAAACGGGACCTTATTGAGAGGGTCTATATCCTCAAGGGTCCCCCTAATCCTATCTCCCACAATTGCACAAGGGTCCGCGTAGCAGTACAGTATGTACTTTGGGGGCCCATATGGGTGGTTGTCAAAATTATGGTCCCTTTTGGGGTACCCTAAATAATAGGTGCCGTATTATAATAAGTACCCAAGAAGGGACCATAATTTTGACAACCACCCATATATCTAGTCAGAAATCCACTGTTTCGGTACTCGGACCCTTGCGGAAACCCTAAACCCCAAACCCTACACAGTAGAAGCCGAAAAGTTGAAAACCCAATAGCCTCAATCCTTATACGACTTAAGAGTAATGCATAGGGAATCCCAGCACTTCCGGTGCCAACTTTTAAACCCTAAACCCCAAATCCTAAACCCTAAACCCTAAACCCTATATCCTAAACCCTAAACCCTGAATTGGGGGTTTACTACAGCGCTGAGGGCCCGGCGCCGCCATAGCGTTGAAGCAGCGCGAGTCGCAGTGCATCGCTCTGCTGAGCTGCCGGGAGCTCCTGATAAGAAATTTTTGAGTTTCGGGTTTCGGGTTTTGGGTTTAGGGTTTAGGGTTTAGGGTTTGGGGGTTTTGGGGTTTTTGGGGTTTATAGGGTTTAGGGGTTAGGGTTTAGGAGTTAGGGGTTGTAGGGTTCGGGTTGGATTCAGGGCTTAAGGCTTGTAAGGGTGAGGGTTTAGGGCTTACTTAGGGCTTAAGGATTGGAGTCGTTTAGGGCTGAAGGTGTAGGGTTCAGAGTGCTTGGGGACTAGCAGAGGAAGGGCTCAAGATCTCGACTGGGAGATAGGGTTTGGCGCCAAAGATGGGTGGCTGGTTGTGGGCGGGATGGGACTGGCCTGTTGTTCTACGTAGAACCTAACCTCAGGTAAATCGAAAAGGAAAGCAGAACGCTTCCCGAAACCACCAAGTCAATGAGGGAGCAACTGAATGAATGAACTGCCGCTGGCTGCTAAGACTAAACCCTAAACCCTAAACCCTAAACCCTACACCCTACACCCTAAACCCTAAACCCTTAACCCTAAACCCGACAAAATGTTCATAACATCACGCCGCCGAGGCTTCCTCGAACGGACAAACCGCAGAGAGCCCACAACACACAGTCGGTTGAGGGTTTAAGAGCTAGCCTCGTAGCAGTGCGGGAGGTCCGCTTCCTCTATGTAGGCCTTCAGGGACGTCGCATCCAGCACGATCACCTGCACACAGAAGGACCCCTAACCTTGAACCCTAAACCCCGTGATCGACCAGCACTGAGGTGATCGAAACGTTACGTAGCGACCTCAGGGCTTAGAGCTTATAGGATTTAGAGTGTATGGTGTTTAAGGTTTACCTATAGTCTCCCATTGTAGTTTTTTTTTCTCGGGTTACCCTTAACTATGAAACTGGCCTAAACAAAACATTTAAAATAAAGGTTTAGGTTGTTTTTCAGCACCACTTTTACCGTTCGCAACAGCCTCCGGTAAAACCCAAGGTTTAGGGTTAAGGGTTTTGGGTTCAGGATTCAGTATTGCGGAAAGACCACTGGAAAGCTGCCTGCCATCCGGGGTTTTGGACGATCCAGGTGTGGACGCAGAGCCGCCTGTGGCATGGGAGAGAGAAGTAGAAGCCTAGACCCCAAACCCCCTAAACCCTATAGTTCCCAAAGCCCTTTAGGAACCCTAAGCCAAATGCCCCAAAGCCCCAAGCCGTAAACCCTAAACCCCCTTACAAACCCCAAACCCCTAGAGCCCTTACGAACCCTTAACTCACCAAACACGTCGTTGTTTTGCGGGCGGCGGAAGGTGATGGCGCATGATATTGCATGGCAAAAGCTGATCTCTTGTTGAGGGGGAAAGTGAGTTCGGAGCCCGGGCTTGATTTGCTGGTTTAGGGTTTAGGGTCAAGGGTTTAGGATTAGGTTTAGGGTTTAGGGTGAGGTTGTCGACCCTGAAGCCTTCGAGAGAGTTTTCGGGCTCAATCAACAAGAAACACCAAGAACGATTCTTCAGGACGATCTACTAGTGTTGTTATTCTGGCTATGATTACTGATCGTATTATGAGAATGGTATGGTTCTGACCATCTTTACATTCTTATGAATAGTATCCCTAAACCCTAAACCCTAAACCCAGAACCCTAAACCCTAAACCCTACACCCTAAACCCTAAACCCCACACCCTAAACCCTAAACCCTAAACCCTAGGCACATGACCCAAGATTCTCTCCACCACGCGCACGAAGCCCAAGAGGCTGAAACCGAAGATCAAGAACCCGAAGCCTGAATCCTGAACCCAAGATCCTGCCTACTATAGTAGGGTTTGGGGTTTAGGGTTCAGGGTTAATCTTGAATCCAAGATCCTGCTTACTATAGTAGGGTTTAAGGTTTAGGGGCCTAGGGGCTTTGTGGTTTTGGGCTTCTCCTAAACCCCTAAATCCCTAAATTCCTGAACCTACATTCCGAAACCCTGAACCCGAAATCCCTAAACCCTAAATCCCTAAACCCTACACCCCGAAGTCCCACCCAAGCCGGCCTGAACCCCTGTAGGTCGCTGGCTCCCTGGGCCTCTGAAGCAAAGGCTTGGGGTCTGTAGGAAGAAGGGCTTGGGGTTTTGGGCCTAGGGTTTGGGGATTGGGGTTTAGGGCTAAGGGTTTAAGATTAGGGTTGAGGGTTTAGGGTTTGGGGGATTGGGGTTTAGGGCCTAGGGTTTGGGGATTGGGGTTTAGGGCTAAGCGTTCAGGATTAGGGTTTAGGGTTTAGGGTTTGGGGGATTGGGGTTTAGGGCCTAGGCTTTAGGATTAGGGTTCAAGGTTTAGAAGTTTAGGGTTTGGGCTTTAGGGTTTTCACCCAAGAAGAACCGAAAAAAGACAAGCCTAGAGGTTAGGGTTGTATGGGATTTGGGCGCTATGTTTACTTGGAGTTTGGGCTTTGGGCCTTGGGATCTTCAGGATTCGGGCCCGGAGGTTTTAAGCTTTTGAGTTTAGGGTTTAGGGTTAATTTTGGAGCTCTGGGCTTCAGCTGTGCGATGTAAAGTGAAGGCTTGAGCGCAATAGCTAGAAATTCCTACAGCGCCCCCCAGTATTCGACTTATAATATATTGATCCCGATGCCTCTAAACCCGCGTCCCCAAAACGCCAGTCCCCAAAACGCCGGCAAACAATGATGGTAAAGACTGGAAGTAGCCATGATCATGCTAATGCTGTTGCTGACTGCTATTGGCAATGTGGGGCCCGCAGAGTTAGAACTTGGTTTTAAGTATGCGTTCATGTTCACTTCGCTTCTACTTGATTACCGGATCCCTGTTGACACCTTGTGGACCCTTGTGTTATAAGACCCCTTTTAAAGCCCCATACAACACCAAAGAACAACTTGAAACCATGTAACACCTTCCGAAAGATCTCTTGTTTCAACCAAACCCTATAGACCCTAAACCCTAAACTCTAAACCCTAAACCCTAAACCCTATAGACCCTAAACCCTAAACCCTCTTCAGGTTCTGGCACACCACGAGCCCCCGGCCCAGTACATCCAGATCACCTTGGGGGCCTCCCCTTCAATCTTCGCCACGCCTCGCAGCTGAAGGGCTCCCGTCTCATGGACTTGAGGGCTCAGGTGGCCTTTTAAGGCTGGTTTCAGAGTTTGGGGGAGGCCGGGGAGGCGTTAAGGGTTCTGAGTGTCCCAGGTTTGGGGTTCAGGGCTTCGGGCCGTCCCTAAGACCATCCCGGCACCCGTCAATCCCTGAGCCTTGAACCCTGCACCCACTCAAACCCCGGACGAACACCTGCAAACCTACAAGCCTAACCCCCGAAGCCAGAAAAACTGAAGAACTCTTGACGACTGAAAGGTGCTGGAAATGTCGGACGAATTAGACCTGGCAGGCGTGCTTGGGAGTTAGGATTCATGCTGAGATGTTAGGCTTCAGGGATCTTCAGGGGTGAGCGGTTTGGTATGCCGGTCCCAAGATTTGCGGTACGGACGCATGAATAAGTAAGTAAGTAAGTATGTATGTATGTATATATATATATATATATGTATAAATAAATAAATAAATAAATATATATATATATATATGTATGTAAACACACTCTTACATATGTTTATATAAGATTTGCATTTAACTGCGACTATTGAGGTGGGAGGTTTTTACCTCTGTGTGTGCATATATATATATATATATATGCATGCATGCATGCATGCATGCATGCATGCATGCATGCATGCATGCATGGATGGATGAAGGATGGATGGATGGA